CATTAGAAATGGCACATGGAACTAGAACAGTCTACCCCAGTGAGCGAAATAAAGGGTTCAGTTCGACATTCCAACCGCCTGAAGAAGGCCGGAGCGTACAACAGCCAAAACGTTGTAATAAATATGGTGACAAAGATGAGGACAATAGTCCAAATAATGTAAATAACTTAAATTCTGCCCGAAAAAACATCTTTTTAGTATATATATATATATATATATATATATAGCATTACTTTTACATTACTTTTTAAACTCAGCCTCATACACACACACACATATATTTATATAAATTGCATTACTTTTTTAACTCACCCTTGTGTCTATACACACACACATATATATATATATATATATATATATATATATATATATATATAGACACACACACACACACACACACAGACATATATATATATATATATATATATATATCATCCTGGTTATGACAATAAACTACATCCGGGTCCTGGGTAAGATGCTAAACTACATCCAACATCAAGGCCTCTGATCAGGAGGTTTTGAGGAGCATGGAACCACCTCTTAATTGCTGGTGTTCCCAGGTCCACCCTGACCCGGGTTGGTAGCACCTATTAGGGTCCCAGCTATGGGCAAATAGTTGATCCCCAAACTGGAGTCAAAACACTAAGAAAATGTAAAAATAGGTTTTAATACCAGAAATACTTTGTGAAAAAAAAAAAAAAATTTATTACCAGCTATTCATTTTTGAAGCAAAAATATTACCAGAATAAAAATTTTGTCAGTATTAAATAACCCATTGAGGTTGATATACTCTAAACCAAACTAAACCATATATTTTCAAGAGCAAGTTAAAAGGTAATACAAGCCTGAACTGAGATTATAGTCGTGTACAGCTTACACAACACTAACAATTCACACTAACAATGCTAAAAATCTGAGACGAACATCAATGTAACTTCCAGTATCCACTTGCATGAGTAAATTATTCCATTCAACTTCATCATTTCCCTACTTTTATTTCAAATAATTCTGTACTTTCAATTGGAAAATTTATATTGTCCACTTTTTCCACTCACTTTTCATATGTACACTGTCTAGAAATGACTCCTCTACTTACACTTAAAACACCATTTCCCAAAGGCTTGGACACTTATTTTTTTTCCTCTTATTTCCTTATTGCAATATCTGCATACTATTAAGCTTTTAGTAGCACTGTAAGTCCCCATGCTACCTTCTGAGGCATTAAATTTTTGAATCAATTCCAATTGTTGTAAGAAGTCCACACATGCTTCCTGATTCACACTATGAGCTTAAAGCAGCTGTAGAATTTTACACTTGTATGAGACATTCTTTCAATCAGTGTTAGAAAAATTAGCTCATCTTCAATAGACAATTTTTCCCAAACCCATACACTTCCAAACTCACAATATCTTAACACTTCATTCAATCACTGTACATATTGCATAATAGTTTTGTCTAGTCTCTGTCTACTTTTGAGAAATTTATTTTTTTCTGCTATGACCAATATTTTTTAGGGTCATAGATTTGCTTTCATGATGCCAGCAGTTTCTTCAGATTCTCAATCCTCCAACATATGACAGTTTTTTAAACAAGCCAGATAATATCATAAAAACCACCAGCTGAATCCAAATAACATTCTTTTAGCCCAGCCATTCTACAGCCTTCTTCAGGTATTCTGTAATAAAAGAGATGGGTCCCTTCTTTTGTTTTTTGCAGTAATTATAAACAGAAAAGATAAGATAGCAAATATACTGACAAGTTTGGTTTATTTCCAGCATGATGAGCCATGTTGGCGAATCCTTCATCAGCAACATATGTAACATATTTGTTATTCATGTTTTATTCATTGTGGTTTTTCTTTATATATATATATATATATATATATATATAGAGAGAGAGAGAGAGAGAGAGAAAGAATTAATATAAGTAGTAGGTTTGTCACTTAGCTGATTGATGTTACCTTCAGCATCCTAACTTCAGAGTTTCATAGATGGACCCTCCAGCAATCACTCCATCCACTCCTCAGGAGGTATCAGCAATTGACTGCTTATACTTCTATATTTTTCTTTTTTAGCTTCACTTTTCATCGATGATGCCTTTTTTTGCATAGTGTACATTCAGCCATCCACTGAAGCAGTTTTTCAATTTCTTCTCTGCTAAAGATGAGAATTGTATACGATATATACTCATATGTAAGCCAACTTTATGTATAGTGCAACACCTGAATTTTGGGGTATGAATTTTAACCATTCTGAAAAGAAAATTTAACTGTGCATAGTGCAACCGGTCCCCAGAAATTCATGTTTTTTAATCTTTTCAAAATAATTACCTGTGTATAGTGCAGCTCCTATTTTTGCATAAAAAATCTGATCATAAAAACTAGCAAATACTCAAGTAGATACGGTACATTTGACCCTTTTCAAAATTGTTTTTCTCTGATTAATGCACATTAGCACTATTTTATACAAATTTACTGTCTTGAAGAAAACAATTATTTACAATATGAATTAAGGTAAAAAATAAATACCTTTTTAAACAAATTGATTAAACATTTAAATCTAATTGCTTATTTTTTTGTTTTTGTTTTTGAATAATAAAATTAAAAATCTTAATTAGAAAAAAATTTATTAAACACTCCTTGCTAAAAGGAAAATGTCCTCAATCCCCTTTTTTATTATATGTATTGTGCCTGTTTGAACAGGACAATGTTTGGAAAGCATTTTTATATTGAAAACGTTATTTTTCTCTTTTCACAATATGAAACTATTAGGGTACTTCTTTCTATCCATGAGGCAGAAGACAAGATCATTTTTCTAATTGTTGTTTGGAGACTTAACGAGTTAATTAGTTGCTATTTAATCACGTTTATGACAAAAGTCAGGATTATTCCCCCCTCATTTTGTTTACAATTCATTCAATATCAACATTATTTCTGTATTTATTATCTTTAATCCTTAATCTTCTATGTGTGATGTCCCTTCAGGACATGCTAGATCATGACTCTCCACAATATCCTCATGGATACTTCTTTCATCTTGCATAGATTTCTCTCCCAGTTCTTTTTATTATTTACATGAGCTCATTCTGTTTCTTCATCTTTGTCTTTTTTGCCTTGTCTTTTCAGGAGATGGTCGATCATGGCTCTTCACAATATCCTCATGGATACTCCTTTCATCTTGCATAGATTTCTCTCCCAGTTCTTTTTATTATTTACATGAGCTCATTCTGTTTCTTCATCTTTGTCTTTTTTGCCTTGTCTTTTCAGGAGATGGTCGATCATGGCTCTTCACAGATTTTTTTCTTCTTTGTAGCCCTTTGTAAAGTTTGTCTTTTTACTATCTCTACTTGTCCCTGTTCTGCCAACCATTTACACAAGCTCGTTAGGCAGAGGTTATGATGACACCTTTTTTTTCTGTCCCTCTGGCATTCAATATGCCCTGACAATTTAACAGGTTGAATAAAATATGAAATACTACTGAAAAGTTCTTGGCCCAACTTCTGTAATGATGGAATTTATATATATATATATATATATATATATATAGGTGATGGTGGTCAGTGGGGATTCTTAATTGTGCTGAAAACTTTTCAACTCCATTTCACAAGTAGCCTATGCCATGAGCTTTGCAGCTGATGGAAACAATGATTCTCTGTATTCATTTTACAAAAGATTTTGTATTCATTATTCATGGCAGTCGATGTAAATGGTGTGCAGATTTTGTTTATAAATAGGAAATATTTTTTCAATTTCTAATAAAAAAATTTGACAAAATTGTTTCATTATTTCTCAGATTGTTCCTAGTATTACCTTTTGATATTTAGTTATCTCTCTTTGGGATGCTTCCTTTTTCTTTGTGTTTTGTTTTTGGTGGAGGGGGCACATATTTCTATTTTGTCCTTAATTGAACTCTGAAGAGCAAGAAATGACAGCTCTTCTTTTTTTTTATTATTATATTTATTGATCACTACTTTATGGTGAATATTTATTTCTTACCCTTGCTCCTCCTCCTCCTCCTTTGTTTTTATATATTTTTACATTATGCAAATATATATATATATATATATATATATAAACTTTTAAAATGTTGATTTTTAAAGCCATAGCAGCAGTGGTGTGTCTAGGGCAAGATAGCCTGATAGAGCCCATCTCTCTTCAGATTGGTTTTGAACTCAGAATTTTCCTTCTTCTAGATTGATTGCCATCTCAAGGAAAGAAAGACCAGTCTACTCTGCTATTTAACCCGTAGCTGGAGGAAGATGGACTTATGCATTTTCTAAGGGTATTAGTGAGAAGTGAATAAAACAGAATCAAGTGTGAATTGAAATAATTCAATTTACACCATCTGTAATTCTGAATGAATTGTTACTTTTAATCAAACCCTATAAACAGAGGGCCTGGTATTAAAGGAAAGCAAGAAGAAAGGACTAACTATTAACTGCCAGAAGGCAGCAAAAGAGATTGGAAGTGTCAAAATGAAGCAGATACTGAAATTGAACCATCTTTTTACTTGTTATATTTTTCAATATATGTTACAGTAAGTAATATCTCATCTTTCTTTTTCTATTCCCTTTGTTTTAATAAATTTGTATATATTATGTGAATATATACTTTTAAAATGTCCATTTCTGTTATGGTTTTAAAGATAACATTTTATTTCATATATGTTCAAACTAAACTCACCTTCTATTGGATATATACTTCCTCCCTATTTCTCTTGCTTTCTGTAGCATCTATGTCAATATAAAACGAAAGCCAACCTCCTAATTTGATACTTTCTCTCTCTCTCACTCACTCTCACTCTTTTTCTCTGTCTTTCTCTTTCTTTCTCTCTTTCTCAAGTATCATATTGAGTCATCAAAGGCAGCTCAATGTTGTTTTCTATCTCAGTGCTGGGTGTGACATGCAATGGATGTGCTGAATATTTAATCAGGGATAAACTGGAAGTAGGTGGTGGTGAAGAATTTGCAGTTGGAACTTTAAGATGAAAAATAAGACAATTATGAAGGCTACCCCCCTCCTTATTTCTATTTTAGAAACAAGAGGAGATTATTTTCTCTATTTTCTCTGCTGCTTAAAGGGTTGCGACTGCTGCAGCAGCTTTGATGTATGACCAGATATTTCAAACAATTTTTTGGCAACTTCAATCAACAGAATCTGAAATTTATGGCCAAACTGCCCCAGTTCCTTTGCCCTTAAAAATAAGAAAGACAAAAAAAGTAATTTCATAAAATGCACTTTTTTCTTTTCTTTTTTTTTTTAATTAAAAAAAAAATTTTTTAATTTCAAAAATTAAATAAAAAAGGTTAACGAAATACATCTTGCATCTTTATATACAAAGTTTCAGCTTCCAATTGTCTAATTTTATCCCAGACATCCATTTCTACCAAGTCCAACTCTATAATAATTTTGATGTTAAAAACATTGTTATTACTACAACTTCCTTCTTGACTTGGGTACCATGCATGCTTGGGCAGATATGCCTCATTTTGATTCATGGTTGATTTGTCAGAAAAATTGCCTCAGTGAAAATTGTTATTTTTCTGCAGTACACCGGTTACCAACTAAGAATATAGAACCCAATCCTGATGTTTAACCCATAGGTGGAGGAGAATTGATGGATTGATACCTTTTGGAAGGCTATTTGTATGTAAGTGAATCTAATGAACTTAATTGGAATTTGAACTCTGCTCTCCAATTTCTCATTCTGAGCCACTGACCATCCCCCCCCCACATGCATATCCAAACATATAGCACCTACGATGCCCAAATGATCACCCATCTAGTTACTAACCAGGTTTGATATTCTTTAACTGAGGTCAAATGAGAACCAGTATTTCAATGTGATATGGCCATAAATACTACTACTACTACTACTACTACTACTACCTACTTCTTCAGTGTAGTGTGTCCCTTCAAGACGTTGATGATCATGCTCTTAGCAACAATGTTTATATTTTTACTATCTCTCTTAATCACTGTTTTGCCAGCCATTTATACTAGCTTATTAGGTACGTTATTCTCTACTTTCTTCTGTCCATCTTACCTTCAACATGTCAACTCAAAAGCATGAAAAAATTGTTTCGTAAAAGTTTGCTACTGGTTCATAAACTAACTTTATGATGTAGTAAAAAATACCAAAGGGAGGTAATACTGCTGTTACTGTATTAAAGAACAAATGAAAGCAAACCTGACCATTGAAAGCTACTTATATAATTTAGTTCTATGGTCAGGGTTACTATTGCAACTGTTGAAACAACAAATTAAATGGTTTTTGTTCATAATTATAAATAAAAAAAAATTAGCAACTAATTCAGTGAATATTTTTTTGTTGTTCCTGGTCTTCATTATCTGATTTATATCCGAAATAAAAGGTATTTCATCTTAAGAACTATCTGAATGTTAATAGCCCTTCTCAAAACTATAGAAAATACCAAAATATTTATTGTTTGCAAGGATATTTATATCTTTGGAAATAACTGGGTCACATTCCTATTAACCTGCTGTGGTTTTTGGTGTTTTTTTTTGTTTTTTTTGTCTTTTATGCAGTATATTCTTTGGATATATCTGATTATTTTTTTCAGATAGCATATATTGAGATACTTTTTAATATACAAAATCCTATATCGCCCATCCAACGGTTGCAGTCTGTCACTGGTGGGCGATAATGCCCAGATTGAGGAACCTGCTTTAAATGTTACATACTGAAATAGACTGAAACTTTTCTCCTGGATATTTCCTGCTGAAATAGAAGTGCTATTAAGTACAATATATTTTGCTTTATTGAAATTATTTTTTTTCTTTTCTTTCATCTTTCTTTATATTTAGCCATTTTTTAACTAAGATACTTAAAAAAAAAAAAAATAAAATAAAAAATGCTATTTTCAAAGGTCAAATTTAACAGATTGTCCAGTCCAGTCTCCATTGTCTTATATGAATATGCAAATCAGCGTTAAAGTTTAAAGCACCTGCTGGAAGATGAAACTTGAAAAATCACTTGACTGACCTCCCTTTAACTATGGTGATTTTTTTTTTTTAATCTCTGAAGTTCAATTTAACAGTTCATGGTGTTAGGCTGGTTGTTTATTTACATTTCCTTATTCAATGGCGAACACTTTTGTCTTCAGAACAAGTGACAAAAAAAGTGATTTACCTGTTAGCTAAACATTATTTGTCTTCAGTACCAATGTTGGTATTTTCATCTCTGTCAGCCAAATATAGAACCAGGGTGTGGGGTCCAGAGACTATATAACAATATCAGTAGGAAAAAATGTACTAGTCCCCTGCTGTGTGCATAAAACAAAATGAAGACAGGATATACATTTCAAAAAGGTGACATTAGGTAATGAATGTCCTTTATCATTAAACATATTAATGACGACATTGATTTAACCTTGTCCTCTTATGGGAATTTAAATTCATTGGTTTTGCAAAGTATTAAACAGTCTCTTTTTACCATTTTCTCTTGGTAGCATACAAGCAACCATGTATTATTCCCTCTCTCTAGGATGTTAAGAAAAAACAAAAGAACTGTTTTGTTTACTCTCTACTTATCTAAAACAAAGACAAATATTTACTGCTGTATAATCATTTTAGAGGCTAATTTTAGCAAAGATACATTTCATTCATCATTTGCCAGACAAGAATCCAGTGACATTTTGAAAGCAATTGGAAATAGAAACAAAATTTAAAACTTTCATCAGATTTGCTTTATTATAAGAGACAACAAAAAACATTTTTGTTTTCTTCACCTTTACCCTCACCTTCTCTTGGCTCCTCTCTCTTTCTCTCTCTTCTGTCATCTCCTCCACCACACTTTTCTGTCATCTCTTCCACTCTCTCACTCATCTTTTCTGTCATCGCCTCCTTTCTCTCTCCTGTCATCGCTTCCTCTCTGTCTGTCTCTTTTTCATCACCCCTTCTCTCACTCTCTCTCCTTTCTGCCTATCTCTTTCGTCACCTCCTCTTCTCTCTCTCTCTCGTGTCGTCACCTCCTCTTCTCTCTCTCTCTCGTGTCGTCACCTCCTCTTCCCTCTCTCTCGTGTCGTCACCTCCTCTTCCCCCTCTCTCGTGTCGTCACCTCCTCTTCCCCTCTCGTGTCGTCACCTCCTCTTCCCTCTCTCGTGTCGTCACCTCCTCTTCTCTCTCTCTCGTGTCGTCACCTCCTCTTCTCTCTCTCTCTCGTGTCGTCACCTCCTCTTCTCTCTCTCGTCGTCACCTCCTCTTCTCTCTCTCTCGTGTCGTCACCTCCTCTTCTCTCTCTCTCGTGTCGTCACCTCCTCTTCTCTCTCTCTCGTGTCGTCACCTCCCTTCTTCTCTCTCTCGTCACCTCCTCTTCTCTCTCTCTCTCCTCCTCCTCTCTCTCTCTCTCGTCACCTCCTCTTCTCTCTCTCTCTCGTGTCTCTCCTCTCTTCTCTCTCTCTCATCGTCACCTCCTCTCTCTCTCTCTCGTGTGTCGCCTCCTCTTCTCTCTCTCTCTCGTGTGTCCATCGCCTCTTCTTCTCTCTCTCTCGTGTCGTCGCCTCCTCTTCTCTCTCTCTCGTCGTTGTCGCCGCCTCTTCTCTCTCTCTCGTGTCGTCGCCTCCTCGTCTCTCTCTCTCTCCTGTTGTCACCTCTTCTCTTTCTCTTCTGTCATTGCCTCCTCTCTCTCTTTCTCTTCCACCATTGCCTCTCCTCTCTCTCCTGTTGTCACCTCTTCTCTTTCTCTTCTGTCATTACCTCCTCTCTCTCTTTCTCTTCTGTCATTACCTTCCCTCTCTCTCACTCTCTCTCTCTCCTGTTGTCACCTTTTCTCTTTCTCTTCTGTCATTGCCTCCTCTCTCTCTCTTTCTCTTCCACCATTGCCTCCTCTCTCTCTCTCTCTTCCACCATTGCCTCCTCTCTCTCTCTCTTTCTCTTCCACCATTGCCTCCTCTCTCTCTCTTTCTCTTCCGCCATTGCCTCTCCTCTCTCTCACTCTCCTGCTATCACCTTCACCCTCTCTCCTTTGTTTCTCCTTTCTTCTTCCCTTTATCTATGTTTAGTGTTTGAGAATCCCATAATAGTAATGTTTATATTTTTTTCTTTGAAGTGTAAGCCCTAAAAAACTTATCTTGAATTCAATAATCTGATTCATAATTTGAATAAACAATGCCCCATCAAATTCTCTTGTTAATTCTTTGAGAGGAAACTTCTTTAAACAATTACAGTTTAAGAAAATAAACTTTTTATCATGACTCAGATATGAATATTAAATCAGTAAGCAGGTGGGGAGGGGGTGGTCATGAAACTTGGTTGTTTTTTTTGGTTTTTTTTCTGTTACGAGAAATACTTCCTAAAATGAAACAATAGCCCCTGATCACTGTTATTGGTGATGGTGAGGGTCTGGAGAATCTACTAGTTAGTGGCTCCGCCCTAAGTTATTTCTAATGCAATATGACACTCCTTAATTGATTGTGCCTTAAAAAGTAAATCAGGCAGAATTCTACTTACAGCTCAACCAAACTCTTCATTTCCAGACCCCATTGAACTGCTTTAAAAATGATTCATACCCAAATATAGTCCTGTAATCCTGATGTCCATCTTGAACGATTATCAGGAATTCTCTGTTAGACTTCTGAATGTGTCATCTGCAACAACAAGGATATCCACTTTGCCGACAAGAACATGAAGCGTCATCATTTCTTGTCTCTTTTGTCCAAACCATGAACAGCTGTCACCCGATTCTGTACCTCACGAGAAGAAATAGGGTGGCAAAGACTGTGACTGATTTGTATCACAAGCGGGTAGGCATATGGCAACTGATTTTATGAGGCTATAAGTGCTTTGTCATCATCATATGCATCACCACTGCAGGGATAACCTCTTTTTTTTCCATTAACATGCAGTTACTGTTGTTGTTGTTGGCATTTTTCATATTAATATAGCATTTCTTAGATTTCTTTCTCTCTATCTTCCTCCCTCTCTCTCTCTCTCTCTCTCTCTATCTATATATATATATATAGTGTTAGCTGAAACTGCTTAAACATGGAAAGTTTTATTTACAAATATGAACAGAAATCCCCAAAATTATTAGAAATATTGAAAAAAAAAAAAAATAAAATGATAATCCACAAGGAACTTTTATTGGTTTTTAATCAAATGTATATAAATGAAAAATTTCTGTCCAAATATATAAAAATATATATAAAAGTGAACATTGCTTAATCACGAAACAGACTGTCACCCCTGGGTGTTGACTTCAGTGTCCACTTTTATATTTACATAAGCTCTATTGCTGATATTGTGCATTTTAAACCATAAATATGGCATATCTGAAAATGATACATCTCTCACACATATATATCTTATGTGTATGTCACATTGAAACTCTGGTTTTTGTACAATCACTCAAGTTAAGCAATTTCAAGCCTGGTCTGTTTCTAGACGGGTGACCACTGGAGAACACCAGGTGCTGTAGGTTTGGATATATGGGTGATGTAATGGATAAAGAACTTGAATTGAAGAGATGAGTTTCAATTCCTGTCAGATTTGTTATATCCATTTATGCTTAAATACTCTTGGAAAAGGTAAATCTACCTCTTCTCCCTCCAGCTATGGGTTAATTAGTAAGACTTGTATCAGTAAATCATTATTATCTCAACAAAATTCTTACAATCCAAAAATATTTTTCTCATCTGAAATAACCAGCAAAAGGTTGATAAGTCATAAAAAAAGAAACAAATTAATTAATAAAACTAGTAATTCTGAGATGTGCTCTGGAACCCATTAGGGCTGTACAGACATCACATTTACTGCAGCTATAGCCAGCAGTGGGTGTGACCAAGGCAAGATAGACTGATGGAGCCCAATCTCCTTCAGGTTAGTTTCAAATTCAGTGTTTTGCTTCTTGACTGGAGGTTTACAGCCATATTACATTAAAACATTTGTTCCCGCATGATCACCAAAATTACGCAACATCAAGCCAGGTCAGTACTTAGATGGGTGACCACTTGGGAATACCAGGTGCTGTAAGCTTGGATGTTTGGGTGGTGTAATGGATAATAGCTCAGAATTAGAAATCAGAAAGACAAGTTCCAATTCCAGTTGAGTTTGTTATTTTCACTTATGCGCAAATACTCATGGAAAATCCATCTCTTCTTCCTCCAGCTATGGGTTAATTAGTAAGACTTGTATCACTAAACTATTATTATCCAAAAAAAAAAGAAGTTTTTTACAATCTAAAAATATTTTCTGGCGTTAAATAACTCACAAAGGGTTGATAAGTCTTAGAATACAAATCAAACAATTCTCCTAATCTGGTTACCACCTGTCTACCTTGCTGTTTGACCCATAACTGGTAGAGAAATGAATTCCTGCCTTTTCCAAGGGCATAGTATGAAAGTGCATAAAACAGAATTGACTGAGAATTGAACTCAGCACACCTAATTCATTTTTTGTGCTGGTAACCATTACACTAACCACACAACTAATTCTGAGATAAGTAATCACAATTTTCAAAAAACCCCAAAAATATTTTTGATCTGATTTGAGAAAGTTCTTAGATGCTACCAATTTCCCCAATCTCTGTTTACTACAGGCATGCCGAGTTCCGTCCCACACTCGATTCCGTTTATTTTCACTTCTATGTTGTTAATGCCCCTGCAAAAGGCTTTAATCTTCCCCCAGCTTTCTTTGACCCATGTAGTTGTTGACATGCTTGAGAAATGTTCGTTATCCTGTTTCTTTGCTTCCTTATACTTTAAAAAATAAAGAAGATATTGAATATAAATCACATTTTAGTTTTGTTTACATTTAAGATCAGTTTGCATAAATTTCTCTTTCTTTCTCCTAACCAGAATGGCTGTTTTTTTTTTTTATTGTTGTTTTTTTTAAACACACACGAATGGTTTAATGGTAGGCAATAAAAATTCAGTCTGGCCTTTAATCTGTTACTCTAGTTTGGTCTAAGTTTGCCCCACCCATTTTGAATTTTTTGAATTTTCATATATATATATATATATATATATATATATATATATATATATATATATATATATATATATGAAGAGAGAGAAAGTTAAAATTTGGTATATTTAGTGGAAGAGTACTCAGTATTAAAAGATACAATATTTATAAAAAAAAAAACTTTGTGGATGTAGAAATTAACACACTATATATATATATATATATATATATATATATATATATATATATATATATGATATGTGTGTGTTTCTTATTACTATAAATATTGAGTTTACATTTTTCACTAGAGATCCATGTTTTTGTTTGGTTTTGTTTTTTTAAGCAGTTAATATCTACCAACCTAGAAATCAAAAGTTTTACTTAAAAAAAATACTTCCTGAAAGAAATTGAACCAGTACTTCTTTTTTAATCTGGGAAACCACCTTCAAAACAAGTGTAAGTTACCATTAACCTACAAAAGGCCATTTCACAGATTGAAAAAGAAATATGAGTTGAGAGGCACAGATATTTTTTTTTATAAGACTTTTAAGGTATCACTGTTTTTTTTGTGTGTGTGTGTGCATGTATGTATATTGGGTTAGCCAAAAACTCTCTTTGGTTTTTATTTTTTTAATTTTTTTATTTTTTTTGCACACACTCACATCCAGGGATCAGGATCCTCACTTTCTATTTCCTTTCTCTCCTCTGGCAGTGACAGAGATGGCTGTGAATCAAAGAGTTTGATAAGGCTACTCACATGAATTTGATTTTGGTGGACAACACTGTGTGACGGAGAAGCCCACACACTTAGCCAGAAGCATCTCCCTTGCTGCTCTAAGGGGATTGAGACAGGCAAGATCTGGCAAATCTGGTTGCATCAGGATGTTGGATGCTTGGTCTGTCAAGGAACACGTTACTTACGACAGCCTGACTGGTGTTGCCCTCTTCCACTGGTCTGGTCATTAAGATTGTGTAGATCTTTGCTTATGTTGGCATTAGAGTCTTTAGGGGTTAGTTGTGTTCAGTCTGGTTTTTCTCTTTCAGTAGAAAATTTTTAAGTAGAAAATTTAATTTCTTGTAGGACCACACATGGCAGTAAGGTCAAAGAGAAAGGACCAGAATGAACATGACAAACCCCCAAAGAACCTAACACCACAATAAGCAAATATATATATATATATATATATATATATATATATATATATAACATTCCTAACATTTATCACTACTCTCCCAAGCCAGTCTCGAAATCAAAAGAAAACAGTTGAATCCATCAACACAATACAAACAATATTTCTACATGTGAAAATATTCTCTTCAAACAAAGTAATTGATGTAATTTTTCAGTTGACCATATGAATATAAAATAGCATTTCTAAATTCTTCTAGTTAATAATATTTTGTTTGTTGCTTATAGGTACTTTGTTTTAATAAATTCATTTTGTTTTTTACTTGAAAAAGTCCACATTGGACAAAACGCGTCAACTAAAACAGCAGTTTTCCTATTGTCTTTTTCCTTAATACATATTGTTTTTTTCTAGAGGTTAATTCTAAGAATTTTTCATATAATATATTATATATATATAACTCCAAACATTTTTAGTGTCTATTCATATTTCAGTAGACACTGTTTATTTTTATTTCATCTACTGGTCTGCATATTCTACTCAAATATGAGTATCCACTTAAAATTTCAAGAAATAAAATACGTCACACAAAAAAATAATCCAATAATTCCTTTATAAAAAACAATCCATTAATTTCTTTTATATATATATATATATATATATATATATATATTTGACGTGCCTGGTATACTCCTGGGAGACATGGCTGATGTACCGCAAACACTTAGACACTCTGGTAAGATTCCACTAAGGTTGTTTATAATAAATTCTTGGTATCTACTGAATATCCCACATTGCTAGACACTGGTCCTCAAAAAGGTTAATACAATATTGAGAAGGAAATTCATCATTATAGGCTTTGCTGAACAGGGTCACATGTCATTGACCTTGACTAAAAGTGGAATACCTAAGCATTGGCTCTACAGCACTCAATCTTGGCCACTTGTACTTAGAATCAGAAAGAAACAGGCAAATTTGAAAGTTGCTTGGGGTTTGCATTAAAGCACATCGAACACCAAAAGTTTAAAATTTAAATCCTTACATCTTTATCATTTGTTTCAGTGTTTAATTATAACCATCGTTTGTTTATAGTTTTGTTCCCACCTTCTGTCAATAAAAACATTTAGTCTGAAGAAGTCCCCTTTGAAGAATGAAATGCATTACATAGGATTTTTTTCCATTTTGTCATTCAATTATGCATACTACTGATTTTCAAATCATACATAATTTATATGTATGGCTGTGTTGCAAAAGTAATGTCTGTACTTGATGTGCACATATGTAGGTCAAATGTCAAACGGCTTTGAAGCTCAATTTAGGATATTATCCCTTCTAACGGATGCAACATTGAATGAGTGCAAAGGTTCCGTTATCTTGCTTGTTTCCTCTTCTATTCAAAATATGATTCTGATTACTTGTCATATTGGCCATTTTTATAAAGTCCAAATTCCAAACACCACTGGTTTGGCAACCAAATGAAGCCATATTGTTCTGATTAAAGGTCAAAATCTGAAACATTTTTTAAAGATAGTGTTTTTGTTACTGAATTGTGCAAAATCATTTAAATTATATAAAGTCTGTGCTTTGCACTAACATATATATATATATATATATATTTCAGATAGTGTATATCTGCAAAAGAGCAATATAAAGAAAGATAAAAGGAAAATTCCTCTTAGATGACACATTTTGTCCTCTGCCTTTTTGTTTATTAATCCTTCAATTCATAGCTCTCCTGACTTTTCAGCCAACCTGATGAGTGTTCTTAATTTTAAAATTTTAAAAAGCCAATAAAAATTTTGCTCTTGTTTATAAAGATTTGTTACAAAATAAAACCCTTGCATTTGTCTTGATAGAGTCCATCAGAGGATGAAACCCATCAGATAAGACAAGTTTTCCTTTTGTCTTTATTCATTAAATATATATATGTGTGTGTGTGTGTGTGTGCGCACATGCATATTTGGGCAACAAACCCTCTTTTATACAGGTTTCATTAAAGCTCACTGACAAGGAACTGAGCTTTTTTATTATATTTTTCTTGCATGTGTACAAGAGATTTCTTTTTTTGGATTGATCTTTGGATTTGAGTGCTTTTGCTTAATCTATTAGCCATTATCATAAATGTTTTTATTTCTTTTAATATGTAGTTTTTCTTTTTATCAATAGAAATATTTTAATTCCAAAACACAATCAGCACATTGTGGCTATGTTTCTCATTAATATTATTAAAATTTGGTTTCTTATATTTTATTATTAATGTCATAACTCCTCCCAAAATTTGCTAAAAAAGAGGATACATGATGGAAAAAAAAGACAAAACAATAAAAACAAAATTTTATCATCAAGGATTTATTGATGTAAAAATTATTCTTTCATCCTTTTTAGAATGTTGAAAATCTTGTTTTTTTTGGCATCAACAGGGGACAATAAATTTGTATGAACAATTTAAGTGTCTTTTTGCAGTGAAAAACATTGATTTGGAAATTTTTGCAAAAATGAGATAATCGTTAAAAAAACATATATATATATAATTTACATCTGCCACTGTTTTAATTTTATGAAATTTCAAGAATTTATTTTTTATAGTACTTAATATTTATATTAGTTATACGCACAATTATTTGGAGAATTTAAAATGTCATTTTGATTTTTGAGGGTTTTTTGGGGTTTTTTTTTTTTTTAACAAAACTCCGTTACAGAAAATTTGCTCTGAATTGTAAAATAAAAAATGCAATAAAATTAAGACACTATTTAATTAGAAAAGCTTTTAAAATTTATAAACTTCTAAATGCTTTAAAATTCTATATTAATTTGTAATGGTAAAGTGATATTGTTATTAAATTAAAACTGAATTCACTAATCTTAAGTGGAAAAATTCAATGTATTTTAAAAAGAATTTTGAATTTATTTTATGTGTTTTCATGTACCAATCTTAGTATGTGTAAAATATATAACATTTTCAAAATTACTGAGTAGTAAAAAAAATTAATATAAAAAAGGCATTTATGCTGTATTTGTCATGTAATTTTATTTCTATTATCTCTTCCTTTCTTAAATTTTTCAAAACATCAGTTTTAGAGAAATGAATTGATAGTTACATATAAGAATAAATATCTGCTTAAATATGTTGATCCAGATGAATTTTTAATGCATATGTGTTTTTCATGTAAATTATGGTTTGTTTTTTGTTTTTAAATACAAGTAACCTCCCTTTAATAAAAAATTAATATTCACAACTCTAATTTTTTTTTTTACATATATATATACCATTTATTTTAAATGTCAAATACAATTTTTAAAATTAAAAACTGTAATCCCAGTATAATATATAACTGCATCAATGTTGCAATAACCAGATATATTTTTTTAAATTTAAATTATGTAAAACTTAATCCATATTCAGTGCCTGAAAATTACATTATGCATGAATCTCCAATTCATGCTATCAAACCTGAGAAATAAAGCCAATATTCTTTGTAGTAATTCTTCTTTAACTTTTGGAATTTCTTTTTTAATGGTATTTGATGGCATATAAGAACACAACCTCCTGAATTTTATATGCTATGTTGAAATATCTGGGGCACTAATTTATACCCATCTGTTATAGGGCACCAGTACTTGTACCTTACCAAACTCCGTAATATTATGATCTTAAATGTAAATACTGGAACCAGTGGGTGGTGTATGCCATCATATATGATAAAGTTGTCTCATTGCATTTATTTATTAAATTCTTGATACATATGTACTTAATGAACTCTGTCTAATTCAGTTCAGTGATTAAGGTTTAAGAATTAGCATATGGGCTGTCAAATTTAGTTTGTAATTAATAGGAGAGTTTAATCTGATGCTAAAAACTGGTTTGATCTCATTATACAGTCAACTTGGTACTTTTATTTTGTAAAGATTCCCCTCTTCTTCAATAAATTCTGTTATTCTTTGTCAAATGGAAGTGTGCAGCATCAAGTTTGGGGCAACATTATTTGGTAATTCCTCTTGTAAGACCATGGAATATCTTCAATTTGTCTCCTGTTGGTGATTTTGTGAATATCACCATTAGTGTCTTCAGAAAATATAATCACTACCAACTGATTGGCAATGAATCTACTTTGTACTAGGTGTTGGTTTTATCTTCAGTTCCAGACACATTTTGTTGTTCCCCCTTTTTCAATCTCCATTTCATATAAACCTCTTCTACACATTTTCCCTTAATGATGTCTAATTATTTTAGTATGAACTCAAACGGTGATAGTAGAAGTTTTTAGAAGTATACCAACTCTCTTCTATTCAAGTAAATGCTGCGTTTGTAGTGAGTATGAAATAATAATAACTCCCTTTACCCACTCCTTTCAAATTCAGGTGAACTGAGGAAAAAAAAATAATGGAAAGAAATTTGCAAGCCTCTGTGAAATTTTCTTTGGGCCAATGAAAACCTTGCCTTCACACAGATTGACCAGTGAGCTGAGAAGAAGAGGGAAATAAATTTGTGAGCTTTTGTGAAATTTTCTTTGGACCAGTGAAAAACCTTGTCTCCACAGAAATTAGCTGTTGAGCCAAGAAAAGAAAGAAAGTCACAAGCCTATGTGAAATTCCTTTTGATATAAAATAAGGAGAAAAATTAATAAGAGAAGAGTGTTTGAAGTCATGTGAAAGGTTTTGTTTCTGTTCACTGCATCTAGCATTAAAGTTTTTGCCAGTATAAAAATACTTGCCAATTATATTATCAGCTTTTAAGCAAGCATGCAGCTCTTCAAATGATTTTCTTTTAACAGTCTAAAAAAGCTAAGTATTTCAATTTATCTCTTTGTCTAATTATGAATGTATGTAATCATATATCCTTTCTGTGAGTAACAAATTCTCTTAACTTTGTTTTAAACATTTTTGCATATTTTGTATCAGATGATTTAATCTGTTGTATGAACATTTCCTCTTCATGACAATTTGTTAAAAGTACAGACTTGAAAAATTTCTGATTTATTTACCTGAAATGAGCTCTGACACAACTTCAAACATGTAAATTTGTAAATAAATTCCTTGTCCTCCATTAATCTTCTTCATGTGGGTAAATCAACTGTTCATTTTAACCCTTAAGCCCCACTTCATTATAAGTTCACTAGTGTAATTTCTCATTTGCTGGAAGAACTTGAGAATGGTAGTGTTTGACTTTCTTCCAGAAACTGAGAAAGACATAATGTTCAGCTCACTACTGGGACCAAAGAATGCTATAGTGTTCAGTTTGCAGCCAGAACCCAAGAATGGTATAGTGTTTGTTCATAAATTGAGACAGATATCATGTTCATCCTGCTGCTGGTATATCAGAATCGTATAGCTTTTGTCTTGCTGCCACAACCTTAAAATGGTATAGTGTTCAGCTTGTAGCCAGAACCTGAAAATTCTATAGAGTTTGGATCAAAACCAGGAAATGATGTAGTGTTTGGTTTTTGGTCAGAACCTGGGAATCGTGTAGTATTGGGCTCTCGTTTGGAACCTGAGAATCATGTAGTGTTTGTCTTTCAGACAGGACTTTAGAATCATGTAATATTTGGCTTTCATTTGAAACCTGGGAATCGTTTAGTATTTGGCTTTCTAGCAGAAGCCAAGATTCATATAGTGTTCAGCTTGTGACAGTTGTGTTATAAAAGTACATGATAGATTCACTTGTATCAGGTCAACTATACATTAAGTATAGATAATGGCTTCAGACAAACCCCCTCACTTTGTGATAGGAAGGCATATTTAGTTAATGCCTTTGCCTCTTTGAATTCTAGAATCGCATTCAGGAACATTAATGTTGGCTTTGATTCTCAGATTTGAGTGAATTTATAATAATCTTCAGTCTTAATGTTTATTGTATATTTTTGTCACTTCAGCTAAATTTTGTTTCAGGTTTTTATTCACTGCTATGAAACCATAGTGACAGACACAACATCTTCTTACCTGTGGTCATGAAAGTATAAATAAAAACTGCTACATTTGTGAGAACTGGGTTTTTTTTTTTTTTTAGTTCTGTCTGTTTCTGATTTTTATCTCTCTCTCTCTCTCCTTAAAGCACTTAGTATCAGCTACTCTGGGAATAAATATATCCTCATCTCTTTGTTTATATATCTATCCACTTTAGTTGCCAAGGTGACATAGGAAACTGATGGAAATGTTTTCATTGATTATCGTCATTTGGTTAGAAGAAGCTGGATACATTAGTGTTTCTCTTTTCTTTCCTTTTTCTTTTTCTTTCTTTTCTTTTTCTTTCCTTTATTTTTCCTTTCCCTTTCCTTTCTTTTTCTTTTCCCTTTCCTTTCTTTTTCCTTTCCTTTTCCTTTATTTTTCTTCCTTTTTATCTTTTCTTTTCTTTCTTTTATCTTTTCCTTTCTTTATTTCTTTCTTGCCACAATTTTATTTCTTTGAATTATTAAGGGTTTTTCTTTCTTTCTTTTTCTTTTAATCTCTCAATGAATTACCAAGCTACTCAGAATTTACCCCCAAAAAGCTGAAAATTTTATTTCTTTGAATTATTAAGGGTTTTTCTTTCTTTCTTTCTATTTCTTTTAATCTCTCAATGAATTACCAAGCTACTCAGAATTTACCCCCAAAAAGCTGAAAATTTTTCATCTTACATTTAGCAATACATTTTCCTCTCTTTTTATCAAGAAACCTTTTTTTCTTTTTTTCTTCTGCTTTTTTTTTTTTTTTCCTGGCAAATTCCAAATCTTTCTTCATGCGAGAACAAAAGAAAGAGTAAGATTTAAGATGATATTTAAAAAAAAATTTTTTTTAACTTATCTTCACATCTTTTCCAACCATTCACCATTTTTTTTCTATACAATTATTAAATCAAGAGGCAAAGATTATAATCTTAGAAAAGAAAAAGAAATATGATCTTTACTGTTTATTCTTCATTTCTTTTTTTTTAAATCCCTGATTCAGTTCTTGTTGGTAATATTTCTATTATTTTCTTTACCTGCCATAGGTTTAAAGAATTCAGTGTTTACTCCCACCCACACACCAAAAAAAAAATTTCAGAATTACAACTCTGAATAAAACTATCAGATGCATATTTTTTTCTTTTGTTTTAAGCATCATATAATGCCTCCCAAATTCTTGCCTATACAGAATCATATTTCACTATTTTTTTCAACGTCTCAACTCAACTGTTTCCTTTTTACAATACTTGTCATCTTTGTATTGATACCTTTATATAACCTTATGATGTTTATTTTACACAACAAATATTTATTTTTGAACATAATCTTCTTCTTTGTCAATGCACATAGTTCAATGATGAATATTGACAATATAAATTAAACATACAATGAAACAAGTAAAATCATTGCAAAAGCAAAAAAATAAAATATTGTCAGTTTTCATTGACAAAAGATTTTTTCTGTTAGAAATTCTTTGTATTGATTTTTGATTCTGATTAAATATCTCTCAGTTATATAATTTAAATGTCCTGTGTATGATGATAAACTACGTCCAGCAACAAGGCCTCTCATTAGGAAATTGGAGGTTTTGAGGAGTATGGAACCACCTCTTAATTGCTATTGTTCCCAGGTCCACCCTGACCTGGAGTGGTAGCATCTGTTAAGGGTCCCAGCTATGGGCAAATAGTTAATCCCCAAACTGGGGTCAAATATTATAAAAAATAAAAATAGATTTCTGTAGTGAAAATATCAACAATACATTTTCGTAAAAAAAAAAAAAAAAAATATATATATATAATACCATCAGTATATTTTATTAAAAAAAAATAAAATAAATTAAATTTACCAGAAATTAATTTTTGGAAAAAAAATAAAAATAAAATTTACCAGCAATACATTTTTGTTAAATAAATAAATAAAAAAAATAATAAAATTAGCAGTAATACATTTTTAGAAAAAAAAAATTACCAGCAATACATTTTTGTGAAGAAATTTACTAACGCTCCCAAGAAAATAAGATTTTGGCCTTAAATGACCCATAAGGAGTTGATAAGCTGCTAAACAAACAAATATATTTTTTTTTAGAAAAACCTGGGACTTTTAAACAACTGAAATGAATGATCCTTTTAACCTCAGATGTTATCAGTTTATGCAGATCTTGTTCTTGTTAAAATGAGATTGATGAGAACCCTTTTTTCTTTTCCATTTGATTCAAATTTTCTTTAGAACTTGCAAATTTAGTTTCTTAAACTTGATGATCTGTTGACAGGATAGTACACTCCCCCTTTTTTAGTTTATGGAAAACTGACACTTAATTCCTTGAATCATAAATATGACTTCCTGAGCTTAAAAGTGGGCAAAATATTCTCACTAGTAAACCAGGGGCTTTTTTTTTTGTTCTTACATTTTTAAAGGATCCCAATTTTATCTTTTTTATTAATTTATTTTTTTTTTAATCAATTCACCCCAAGCAAGTCAATAATGCCACTAAGATGTAAGAGGTTAATTGGAGGGAAAGAAAACAAGAAAGACTTTAGAAGGAACCAGAAACCCAATCATAAACTGGGAACAAAGGATAAACCTCTACTCCTTTTCAAAAGACCAGGAAGGTATATGAACCAAGTGATAGGCGAATCTATATTACAAGTATCTTTATATTCAAAGTGAAGTAGATTTTTAAACAGTTATTGTTTTTTTTTGTTTTGTTTTTTTTTTTTTGGCTAATTGCTTTCATTCACCCAAAGCAAGACAATAAAGCCACTAAGATGCAAGGTGTTACTAAGAGTGAAGACAAAATGGGCAATAAAAAAGTGCAAGATTCAAGGAGACCTGAGATGACAGTTGACGTCACATTTAAATTTTTAAAGATTGTAGTTGATATTTAAAAATCAAAATTTATCAGTCTGAACAGAGCCTGAATTGAGTTCCACAGACAAGACATCGGAGAGATGAAACTGTTAGAATAGAACTTAGGGCTACACTTAGCAAATTTACTCAATAAAATGATGAAACCTAACTGCCAATCAAGTTATATTTGTCAAATGAAATTTGGTCAACAATCAGCATAAGAATTTCTGTATTACAATACTCTTTATTATAAAAAAAGAAATGGTCCTTTGTTTGTCACATACTGCGTGTGACTTTGTATATATATATATATATATATATATATATATATATGAACCCTTTCAGCCTTCTGTTAGCATAGTTGATGTTAACCTCCAGGAGAGTAAGTCATTTCACCTTGTTCACTGGTGACAGGAAATTGAAAGATTATATTGAATCAATCGCTAGGCCTGCTGCTCGGAAAATTGTTTCCTTGTGTCAATTTTTTTTCTCCAGAATCTGTCTTAATATTTATAAGTCTGTCATTTGTGCATACATCGAATATTGCTGCCATATCTGGTCTGGTACTCCTGTTTTATATTTACAGATCCTTGATAAAATTCAAAGAATCTGTAATGTTATTGGTCCTGACCTAGCATCTTAACTTCAGTCAAGTAATGTAGCTTACCTGTGACTTTTCTATAAATACTTTCATGGTAATTGTTCTGATGAAATTTTCTCTATGGTAGTAAGATTTTACAAATTCAAGTGCAGTACTAGATTGGCCACTAGGTCTCATCATTTTACAGTTGAATTGACTAGATATAACCATAAGTTCTATGCTAACAGTTTCTTTTCTGGCACTTTTCACTTGTAGAACTCTCTTCTGGCTTCTTCCTTTCATGTTGTGGACATGAAAGTGAGACTAACCTTAGCTCTCAACATAAGAGGGTTCGTTTGTGTCTGGCGTGCAGGGCAGTAATTGGTCCGAAGGAAGAAACACCACCATTACGGTGAGTCGGACTTATGGGAAACGCGATCTTGTAGCCGCGAGAATTGGCGAGAGGTGAACTTGGCCGTATGCAAATTGGTTGGTGTTCGCTGGCATAAATGTGACAGCGGGAGACCACTCGAGAGAGTTGTGTGTAGCGAACTACGAGGCGGTGTTGGGATAATTGAGTGCAAAGATCTGTGGAGTTTTGTAGCTAGATTGTTTTGAGCAACCTGTCTTGAAGCTGAGGAGTTTTGTTTCTTCCGAAGAAGGGCGGTGCGGGCCAACCTGTTCCCTTCCTATTGTTTGGACCTAATTTTACTACAAGCTATTTCGGCATAATGGGGGACAGATTCGACCTGAAATTGATACCGGAGTTCGATGGCTCAACCCCGGTACTTGACTGGGTAGAAGAAGAAGAAGAGTGTCAGGGTGACCACCATCAGTGGAGAAACACGGAGGTGCTGCGGGGTGTGCGCGGTGAACATCCGTACAAGAACTGGAAACTCGGCCAACTTCGAGGCGCTAGTAGTGCTCGAAAAACCACTGAGTTTTGACCTGCTTCTAGGCTATGATGCCATCAGAGCTCTAGGTGGTGTTCACATAACGCAGATGGGGGCAGTACAGTTTCAGGAGAGGGCCCCAGTGTGCACATCTCTGAGGATCGACCAGCCGGACTTTAGTGTCGAATTTGACCAGCAGCAGAAGGCTTGGACCACCTCATGTAGGTGGTCGGAAAACCAGGAACCAGCCAAACTGCGGAACGAGGTAGCCAAGTACCATGTGCCCGACCAAATAAGGCCTGCATACGAAGGGGAGCTCCGTGAATGGATCAAGGATGGCTGGTTGATTCCTTACCCCTATGAGAAACTTGGACCTCCCAAAGGCCTGATCCCGCTGATGGCGGTTGCTCAGCACAACAAAGCAAAGGTGAGGCCAGTGATGGACTACCGCAAACTAAACGCGCATGTTGATGTGTTCACGGCAGATGCTGACGTTTGTGCCAGCAAGCTACGAGAATGGCGCCAGCAGGGTTCCAATGTGTCCCTGCTGGATCTAAGAAAAGCGTACCTGCAGGTCCGGGTCAGCGGGACGATGTGGCCGTTTCAGACGGTGGTGTTTGCAGGCAGGAGGTACTGCCTTACTAGGCTGGGCTTCGGGCTGAACGTGGCACCCCAAATAATGAAGACCATCGTCAACGCTGTGTTGTCACAGGAAGAAACAATAAAAGAGGGGACATCGGCGTACCTTGATGATATATATGTGAACAAAGACGTTGTGTCGTCATCACGCGTAAGGTCCAAACTGGCTGAGTTTGGTCTGACTTGCAAGGACCCAGAACGTTTGGAGGATGGCGCCCGTGTCTTGGGCCTGAACGTTCAACAGGAGCGAGAGACCTTAAAGTGGGGGCGTGGAACTGCAGTTCCTGAAGTACCCGATGTTTTCACGAGGCGAGCTATATTCTCCGTGTGTGGAAGACTTGTGGGGCATCTACCAGTGTGTGGATGGACTCGTGCAGCAACAGGCACCATAAAAAGGAGGGCAAGCGCAGTCACCAAAGGCTGGGACGATGAAACAACGGACGATCTGTTGGTTCGCATGGTGAAGGAGACCATCGCAAGGGTAAAGCAGGATGACCCCACCAAAGGAGACTGGTGCGTGCAGGGAGACGAACTGAACGTGTGGGTGGATGCGAGCTCTCTG